ACTGGTGAATAAATGTCAGAAGCTTTATCAAGTAAGTCCAGGGAGGTAATTGAGGCAATTTCAAATTGTTCCCATAAGCTGAATATTTTGCTCTGAATATTCTGATATGCTTTTCTTTGCTGTCTACAAATTTTCTTTTCACTCAGTAATTTTTTATATAGCTTTATCAGATCAGCTTCTCTTTTCAGTTCATCTAAAAGCAAATAGAATGCAGTGTTAGAGCAAAGATTCTTGTTAAGCCTGTGATGCCATCCTTCAAGATCATTATTTGTCCTTATAGCCTCACCATAAACAGACCATACCTCTGGTTTATAAAATCCATTTATCCATTGTGTCTCAATGTACTCCAATAGAGACTTCATTTCAATAGGACTTATTTCTTTAATAGTCTTAAATGTTGGTTCTATCAGATCAGAGGGCAGGAATGGTAATGCCATTAATTTCTTCATGATTCTATATTCAGCTTTTTTCTCCTTGTACATCTTACATAATCCTAATTCCTGGAAATAAATATGTCAGTTCTATCTAGACCTCAAATACTAAATTAAAGTATTACTTGAATCTTTCTGTATATTGCTGTGTCCAGTGAAAACACACCCTTTAATGTTTGCTTCAGGATAAGTGAATGATAGTGCTTTCCAAATAGCTTTTTCAAAGTCTACAACAACTTTTTTGGGGCTATGCCATTTGTTAAATCTTGTATTGCCTGTTAATTTAACAAATTAGATTATTCAATTTAAAATGCAAATTATTGTACCTTAAATAATTTCTTGTAGGCTGTCTTTCTCTTAGATCCATAAAAGCAAAAGCCATTGGAATTTGTTTTATTTCTCCATTTTTTTTTATAAATCCATGAATAGAAAAAAGTTGATAAAAAGGGTCTTTCACACATTTAAATGTGCCATCCATAAACCATATTTTGCCTTTAGATAATAATTCAATTTGCTTTGTAGTTGAAAATATTAGTATTCTATCATTCTCCATTTGTATATCCATTTGTAAAAAATCATCAGGAATAAAAGTTTTAGCCAAGTTGAAGTGAATACTTTGAGGTTCAGCTGGTCTAAACTTCTTTCTTGTCCAGTTTGCCAGTCTTGTACAATTATCTAGAGATGGAATAACTTCACCAGAACTACAATGTTTCACCAGAAATCTTCAGCTAAATGTTTTCCTGAACTACTGATATCTTTATTACAAGCATTTTTTAGTTCATTCCTAATCATTATTTTTTGTTCCAAATCAGGTACTCTTTCATGAGAATGGGATAACTTTCCAGGATAAAAACTGTTCCCATGCTGACTAACTGTTGCTGACATTTGTTTCTTTTGTTCCTAACACTGCATATCC